ATCCATTTCCTAAAAAAGGTGAATTGGATCCAACCACAAGAAATAAAGTTAGTAACCGAAGAAGCATTTTTGATAACGGCAGGGATTGAAAGGTCATAGCAGATTTGGAGGGCTACCCATCGTTCATAAAGGAAACAGGAGCGAGACCCGACGTGGTATTAAAGTCGGTATCAGCAGACACTGTTATTTTAGTCGAGGCTGTATGAGGCTAATATGGCAGCAAGTCACGCTATAAAAACAGCCAAGTATAGAGAGCTCATTAGTGAGATAAAAACAACGTGGGTTAAGGTGTTTGTTGTACGTAGTTGAGGTTGGTGCAAGAGATGTTGTTTGTTGTTCAGTGTACAGCTTTCTGAAGGATTTGTGTTCTACAGGTAAAAGACGATCGAGTAGTATGAAGAAAATATGACAGACAGCCGAACAAACATACTGGATATGGTTGTGTAGGAAGAAAAAGGAATGCGAGTTTCAATAGTTAACAGACGAGCTTGTGAGCACACAAGGCTTTCGATTACTCAACACTGCCAGAGATTCGGCTTAGCATGTTCCTTGGCTCGTCGATATAACTCACATCGTGATATGTTTTTTTTGTTTTTGGAAACCGAAGCTGTCCGCCGTATAGTTTAATTTTGAGGCTATTTTTTTTTGTTTTCTATTAAATGTTGTACGATGATATTGCTTACATCATTATAGATTTCTTTTTTCAGGTTATCAAAGTTGTTTGATTTGTGGAAATTTACTTCATATAATGGGCCGCCATAATCTAATATTGATCTTACTGTTGCTCGGTAGATTATTATCAAGTGTTTTTGGTGTGCACCTCATGTGTAGATGTGTAGTGAGACAAAACTTTAATAAAATTCAGAGCCTTTAGACATTTTTTTTGTTTGCTGTATATGAGGTATAAAATTTAGTTTTGCATCAAATATTATTCTTATATATTTATACTGGGGAGTGAACTCTATAAGACCTTCATTATGTGGAAACATGTCGGCTCAAAGCTGACATGTTTCCAAGAAACGTTTGAAACATCAGTTGTTTTGACACTCTCGAGTGAAGCTAGCGCTTCGGAAGATTTTCAATAGGGGCGCTCCACAAATCCTTAATATATATATCATATACATATACATATATTATATATACATATACATTATATTCACATACGTTAGATAACGCAATAAATATACGGATGTGTCTAATTGTGTGTGAGCCAGTCGTAAGCAGGTGTGTCCAGAATCACTTTTAAATTCTAATAATCCTAATTTATATAAGAAATAATTTTTTGGGATAAATTCTGAAATTAAACAAATTTTATATTAGATCATTTTTTGTTAAATGGTTATTAATTTGTAAAAAATAATTTCATTTCAGCCATATCAAAAAGCAGTTTGTTCATCTTTCGTAACATACTGGCATCTATGAGAAAGGGCTATTAGACACGATTCAACATTGTCATCATAAGTAAATGATCAAATAAGAAAACAAACCTCTTCTCTAACAATCTCTTCTACTAGATGCATATACACGTACAATTGTACGTTTATATGCGAGGGAAACCACAAAAAAATTCATATTATGCTGTACCATGTTAATGGTATTGTTTGTAGACAGTGGGTATGATCACATATGAGTTTTATAAATCTTAATTAAAAGAATCAACTAAAATCACATTCAACAACCAACAAACTAACAATTCAAATAAGTATTTCAAAAATGTAATATTCAATCAGTCTGCTAATCTACCATCCAAACAACCAATCAACAATAGAAACCAACAATTAATCAACCAATTTCCCATACATTCAACCAATCAACTAACCAACCAGTAAACCAAACGACAACAATCAAGCATCTAATCATAATCAACAATCCAAGCAGCAGTCAGTAACCTCAGCGCGGGAACATCATGCAAAACACACACGTCTGCTTCTTATTTTCTGCATTAATCAAGTCCGCAAAATTTGTCCAACTAATGCAAGAAGACGATTTTACAAATTGAAAAATTTCTTGTTATTAATCAAACAGATTTTTCCCAGTTGTTTGTATTTTTCAATATGATTTATTTGTTAATACATCTCTCATATATAATATATACATAGTATATATTTGCAGTAATTTATATATATATATATATATATATATATATATATGCAGTAATTTACATATATATGTTAGCAGCAATTTATGAAATCTACCGAATTTTTAACGTTGAATAGTTTTTTATTACCTTTCTCAATATTTCTAACCAAATTCTTTTTGTCATTATTTATTATATTAATGTTAGAATAATATACAGTTTTCCAATGCATTCTCGAGTGTATAGGACCTATTTCGATTTTTCAATCATCTTCAGCACTTGTTGCAGTTTATATAGGAAAATTGTATAACCCAGTACTTGTTGCTGTTTGTATGGAGAATTTGTATAACCAGGCCTTTGTTCCTGAGATTTGCATTTATTGCTATAAGAGACTTGGTTAACTTTACTGTCTTTTCTACTAATTGAGTGGTATGGTTTCTTTGTTCGGACTAATTACTTCGGTGTTGTTTCATTGCTTCGGTGTTATGTTTTATTGTTCTAATTTTATCAGTATCATTCACTTGCTCTCTGTTAGCGCTTTGGTCGACGTTACTTTTCTTAGTGTCTTTATAGCACTTTGGTTAGAATTAATTAAAAATGTAATAAAAAATTATCTAATGCTAGAAATTTAAGCTGTAATTTTATAAATTACAGCTTAAATATTATTTTAACAATATTTTATAAATTATGGTCTATTACCAACATTTACTCGAGGTTCTGCGACCAACCGACGTAATCTAACAATCGAACATGATCGCGAGTAGCGACTGCTCCATCTCTCTCGAGAATTAGAAGTTAAAAGGAAGGTAGTTCTAGACTTGTCCAATCAACTAACTGAATTGTTGAATCAATGGAATCACTGTGATGCTGATTGCAGTGTCAAGAATGAACTAAACTTCTGCCGGAAAGAATTTATAAATTCATATTTGCAGCATGAATTCGGAAAATAAGTTTATTTTGAATTTTTATAAACTAAACGTTCACCAAAAAACTTTAGTGAGAAAAATGGAAAAAACGAACTGCAAACATGTTAACGCCAAACGTTCGGTAGAATTTATAGAATATTGTAAAAATTATGGTCTATTACCAGCATATATATATATATATATATATATATATATATATATATATATATATATATATATATATATATTAGGGATGCCCCGAGGTTCGGCTCCGGCCAAAATCCGGCTTTTTTTTTAAATCCGGTCGAATCCGGCCGGATTTAGTGGCCGGATTTAGGGCCAGATTTAAGCGTCTATCAACTTTTAAAAATGTTATAAATAGAAAAAAAAAATTTATTGAATTCAATTAATTTTATGTCAATAAGTTAAAGGCTAAGGCTAAGCTAAAGGCATACATGACACATAATAACAACATCACTAATTGTGAGGTGATCTGGACAATTTTCTTTATGCTATAACATGGGTTATGCATAAATTATAAGCTGATCTTTATGTAAAAGAACTTGTGCACGTGTATATACTATATATTGATAACTGCACATGACGAATCATATAGCTACATAATATATATATATATATATATATATATATATATATATATATATATATATATATATATAGAGAGAGAGAGAGAGAGAGAGAGAGAGAGAGATACATAAGCTAATAATTTAAGATCATGGTATGTTAAAGGTTAGGCTAGGTATACATGACACATAATTACAACATCACTAATTGTGCGGTGAGCTGGACAATTTTCTTTGTGCTTTTCTATGCAAATATGCATAAATTATAAGCTGATCTTTGTGTACAGAATTTGGCGTATCACACAACTTATTCATTTATTTGAATTAAATAACTATTTGCTTGGTGTTATTTTTTAATGTTCAACATGTAGATAACCGTAAATGTGAGTATTTTTTCTAACGTATGTAAAATGGTAACTAAAATCCGGCTCCGGCCCCGGCCGGTTTTTGAATTTTAAATCCGGCCAAGTCCGGTCCAAGGCCGGATTTGAAAAACCTGAGTCCGGTGCATCTCTAATATATATATATATATATATATATATATATATATATATATATATATAAAATATCTTTATATATATATAATATATATATATATAATAAAATATATATATATATAATAAAATAATAATAATATAATGATAATAACAAAATCATATAAACAATATAATAATAATAAAATCATATAAATAATATAATGTTATCAATCAACCAATCCAATTTATTATTATATAGTTCTAATCTGAAATTTCAAATATCCTATGTGGTCTTGTAGATATTGTGGCATCAGAAACGCTAATTTTATGCTACGAATTATCAGTGAACGAGTGATTGAAATGAAGAAAGACTTGTTTTTAGGTTTTGTCGATTAATTATGAAAATTAGTTGGACCCCTCATACTTCGAATGAGAATGTATTAAAACAGCCCGGTTATAAAAAGAGGAAATTACTACAGATAATCCGACGGAGGCAGTTAAAGATTTTGGTCACATCATGCGGATGGTAAGAATGGAAAATCTAACAACTACTGGAAAGATTGCAGGGAAAAGAGATCGCAGTCAAAAACGAATAACATTCGTGAAGTCCTTGTGTCACTTGTTGAATATCACCACATTTCAACTACTATAAAGTGTTAAAGATCGAGTTTTGTGGAGGTCGATGGTCGCCAATGTCCTGAAGAGATAAGGCACGAGAAAGAAGAAGAATAGTTCTATAATTCTATTATGTGATATAATAATATAATTCTATTATGTGAATAGAATTATGTGAATTTAATCCATTAAACACCAAAATTCATTACAACAAATTATAACACATATAAGCACAATATGAATTTTCTCTTAATCAAAATAAATGTTTCTATTTTTTTTTTAATTTTTTGTTTTTACAGGCTGTTATAATTTTGCTTGACTATGCTAGCGATAATGCGGTGTAGATAACGTTTTGTAATGCCGAATGTCTGTATGTATAAAGATATTAATTGAGTTAATATCTCAAATTTCAACAGACGAAATTAAAACAATATTAAATAACAATTATTTATTTGAAATATGGCGAACACTAAAAGAGTTGTCTACGTTGGTATGTGAAAAAATAACTATTTTCATTTTTATTATTAAATTATAATATTTTTTATTATTAGTAGTATTTATTAATAAAATATTAATAATTAATAAATTGAAAAATTCAAATATTCTTGGTCCACGTATTAGATTTACATTTGAGGCTTTTAAAATTTAATCTTCTATAAAATTTTCATATCTTCAATTTCTTTCTAAAAACTACAAACTACATGATGAATGATGTGTCTTTCTTTTCTTAGTGTCATCTGTATGTCAGTCTCTCAATATATCTTGCCTGACTTCCATGTAACCATCTTTTTTCTTCAAAATGTTCTAAACCTGTTTTACATTCTTTTTTTACAAAATTTCATGAAAATTCACACATAACTTAATATACAATGTATATTATATTATTATGTATATTATACATGGAATCTCTTGAAATAAAAATCTTGAATAAGGATTTTCTTTATTGATAATTATAGGTTTATAATAATGGCATAAAATCTAGTTTTAAATTTATTCATAAACAATAAACATCACTTTGTGGAATAATGAAATAATGTTTATTAATTATCAATTTAACAATTTATAAGTTATTATAAAATATAAAGCCATTGAAGTTTAATTAATTTGACTTAATTAAATTGAATTAATGGTTAATTTAATTTTTTCAGGTGGGCTATCAGAAGAAGTTGATGAAAAAGTTCTGCACGCCGCCATGATCCCATTTGGTGACATCATCGATGTCCAGATACCACTGGACTATGAAACTGGTCAGTAATGAGAATGATGATGATGGTAGTTGTAATGGTGATGAGGATGTGAAGATTGTGTTGTTATAATGGTGATAATGATGTGATGATTGTGTTGTTGTAATGTTGATGGTGATGTGATGATGGTGATAATGATAAACAGTGATGATGAAAGATATGATGGTGATGACAGTGAAAAGAATGATAATATTGATCGGTAGTAGTGATGATAAAAAAATTATTTTTATAATAAGTTATTTTATTATTTCATGCTCTAAAGGTCAATTAAACTAGTAATCATGATAGTAAAGTTGGTTATATTGCAATAATAATGGTATTTGATAATTCCATTGGGTAATGATGAAAACTGCCACAATTTTTAAGATGTTCTAGCAGGCAGAATGCTTATTTATCTAGAATTTATTTAGCTCCATCTGGAAAGTCTCAAAGTAGGCCAATCTGATGAATATTGAATATTTTTTCCACATTACTTTTCTAAATTCTTACTAGTGTGCCATCTTGTCATCTTTGTGAGCTTGTTTAAATCTACATGTTCTGGTGTTTTAATCTTTTCAAATTCTCTTTACTCTAACCTAAATAAAAAAAAAACACAATTGAGTTAGGGAATGTTCTAGATTTCACAAAACAAAAATAGTTATATTAATAATTTAAGTAGAAATGAACTGCCATGGTGCTATACATTTAGATACATTTTAGATACATTTTTTAAAGATTATTTTATGTAGGTGTATAATTGTATATGTAAAAATGTTTTGAATTGGCTATCAGTTTGTTCTTAGTTTTAAGTGCATATCATGGACATGTATTCATTGATGGATATAGATATATATGCACATAACTTAACTTTTCTGACAAAATTGTAATTGTGATGGGGCACGATTACAACATTTTCTTTATTTTGTTTCATTTCTTTTAAATACTGTCACAGACGATAATCTGTTTTTGGAATGCTTTTAATTTTTGTTTGTGCTTTTTATTATTGGTTTTTTTTTGTTGAAAAACATGTAGATCTGTAACATGTAAATCACTGGTTGGCTACTAAGTCATTTCATTTACTTTTTTCTAGTCAAATTTTGCTTGATTTGAAATTTTGAAAACTCTCAAGTAAATAAGTTGAATTCATCTTGTTAACTGATTAACGAAGGCAAGCACAGGGGTTTTGCATTTGTTGAGTTTGAACTGCCCGAAGATGCTGCTGCTGCAATCGACAACCTGGTTCAGTATCATTATTATTGTTTTTATTATTGTTGTTATTATTATTTTTATTGTTGTTGTTGTTGTCATTCTTTTTAGTTATTGTTATTATTTTTTTTTTTTTGGTATTGCTACATTGATATTATTTTATTATTATTGTTATTTTACAATGTTGTGGCATATCTTTTTTTCTTAATTTTTTTCAAACAACTATTCCATGTTTGTATTTTATTTTGCCAGTACTTATCATTGAGAATGTATTTTTTAGAAAGTGGTTGCCAAGTAAATGTTAAACTCTTCGGTGATGCCGATAGGTGATCAGAGAAGAAGTTTTCCAATTTTCCATGTTTCCGTTATTTTTTCTTGACACAGAGCAAATGTTGGTTTAAGAAAATAGTTATCAAATGTTTTCTTTATCGAAGGTTTAGTTAGTAATTCCACTTTTTTCCCATCATGTCAAGCCTGACAACCTCCGGTCGTAAATGTTCTTAAAAGTTCTGAATCAAATCCAGCAAATTTAACTCGTCATCAATGGCAGTATCATTTGAAATTTTAATGCATGGAACTTTCTCATCATTATCCAAATCTTCGTTATTATGTTTGTCATTGTCACCAGTCTCACAGCCAGATCAATACCTTCTTCATCAACGTTGCAACATTTAGAACTTTTTATCGCTACATGCATAATTTTTGCGATTTTAGCATTAGCTAAGAGGCAACGTTTTTTGTTTTGACGAAATGATCATTCTAATTCTACTCTGATCTGGTCATCTTTTATTTCTGTGTTTAATTTGAAAACATCTTCATTACATTGACTTAACAACACATTTAGACAAAAATAATAAAGCTATATATAGGAGCGGTAAAAATTATATACTTTCTATGACTACAAACATTAAAAAAATAATTATTGATTAATAATACTAACTAATAAATAATTAGTTTTATATTTACAAAAAGTTAATTTTAATCGCAAACCTAGAATGATTCAGAACTTTATGGCAAAACTTTGAGGGTTAACATTGCCAAGCCTATGAAGCTCAAAGAAGGATCTGCCAGGGCTGGTAGGCATAATATTTTTTTTTTGTTCATTTGTTTTATTTGTTTGTTTGATCGTTTGTTTGTTTGTTTGTTTGTTTGTTTGTTTGTTTGTTCAATTTTTAGTTTGATAGAATTTGTTCTGTGACAAATTATAAAAATTCTCCATAATATACTTTTTCATTAACATTTGCTAATTCATCTATTCATACGTTCTTTAGGAAATAGTTTAGATTTTATGTTTTCGAAAAATTGAAATACAAAATAAAAATTTTTAAATATATATTAAAACAGAATTTTAGTAAATGGTCGCCAAATAAATGATATAGTTCGCATGATCTTGAGCATATTATCATTATCACATTATCATCACATCATCGTCTTATCATCATTACATCATCATCACATCATCGTCATCAACATCACATCACACACCTACGTTTCTCAGTGTGGACTGACGATCAGTGGCTGAGAGAGCATTCTGGAAAAGCGAAGAAAAATGATGGTGATGATGACAATGATGATGTCGGTGGTGCCGATGATGATGATCATAATAAAGAAGGCGGTGGTGGTGATAATGTTAGTGTTGTACCTGGTAATAATTATGTAAATATGGTAGTGATGATGATTGAATAGTGACAAACAACTCACAATAATAAGACTACTATATAGCACACGTCAATAATGTATGTGTATAAATGTGTGTGTTTGTGTGCGTGTGTGTGTGATTATGCGTATGTAAAAAAATTCCAGAACGCCAAAAATTCAACCTCAACCGACTGCACCACGCCCACAACTACCACAACGACCACCACAAGTGCCAAAAAATCTGTGGCTAATCCACAAGTTTATATGGATGTCAAAATCGGTTAGCAGCTGCATGATTCTGTTATGTCTGGTTGGTGGTGTTGAATGGCTGATTGGCTTAGTGGCTGACTAACTGACCGACTGGTTGAACAACTGACTGACTGGCTGACCAACTGACAGACTGGCTGACCAACTGACAGACTGGCTGACCAACTGACTGACTGGCTGACCAACTGACTGATTGGCTAAGTGGCCGACTAACTGAATGGCTGAGTAGCTGGCTGACTGACTGAATCACCGACTGACCGAGCGATGGACTCAAAGATTGAATATCTGAATACTTAATTGGTGGAGTTTGTGTTGATTGATTAAGTTGATTACCAGGCAACAAGAATGCAGGTCGCATTGTCATAGTTCTACGTTCAGATGTTGTTCCGAAAACCGCCGGTAGGTTGCTGATGGTGGTGATGGTAGTTAATGATAATGATGATGACGATGATGTTGATGATAACGATGATGAGGACTGCAACGATGACGACGATGGTGATGGTGGTAAAGATGGTGATGGTTAAGGACGTCGCTGATTACATTAATAGTTAAGATGACGTTTATAATGGGGTACAGTGATGGCCGAGTTGTTTGAAACAAGGTTGATGACCTTAATAGCCTTAATGACCTTATAATAATAATAATAATAATTAAAATAGTGATGATAATGACGTTAATAATGAAAGTGCGGTGATGTCGATGATGATTGTTTCCTATCAGAAAATTTCCGATGTTTGTGCACCCACGAAAGGGGGTATGGTTTCAAGGGGTCATCATTTCATAGGGTCATCCCACAATTTGTACGTTTGTCTGTCTGTTTGTATGTTTCCTTGTGTGTTTGCTTGCGTGCCTGTTTGTATGTTTGCTATTTCTATCTGTTTGTTTTTTGTATGTTGTTTGTGTATTTTTGTTTGTTTTCACTATATTCTTTATTTTTCTTTCTATTTTTCATTGTTTTTCTCTATTTCATTTTTCTACTCTCTCTCTCTCTCTCTCTCTCTCTCTCTCTCTCTCTCTCTCTCTCTCTCTCTCTCTACTATCTCTTTCTATCTCTCGCATTCTCTCAGTCTTACCTTCTATATTTAATGCTGGATGTCAAACCTAATAACTAATTCTGGTGTTGTTTTTGAAATAATAATACTTATAATAATAGTAATAATTATAATTATTATTATAATAAATTATGATAAATTATGATAATGTTATTATGAGGAAGATGTGTCAGGGAGGTGACATGACGAACAACGACGGAACTGGTGGCAAGTCCATATATGGTCGCAAGTTTGAAGATGAGAATTTCACCCTGAAACACATGGGATTCGGTAGGCTGTTTTTGTTCGTTTGTTTGTCTCTGCCTGTTTGTCTGGCTGTCTGTCCGTTTGTTTGTCTATCTGTCAGTCTTTGTCTGTTTGTCTGCCCTTGTTTTTATTTGTCTCTCTGCCTGTCTTTTACACTTTTGTGTCTGTCAATCACAATCATTCTAACTAAAATTTCTTTGCTCAATTTTTCATTTTTTTCATTCACACGGCAAACAAATTAATTATTTATTCATTCTATATATCTGTTAAATCCATCACTTATCTATAACCTCTTCATTCATTCATTCATTCATTCATTCATTCATTCATTCATTCATTCATTCATTCATTCAATCATCCATCCATTTTATCATTCATCCAATCATTCATCCATCTATCATTCCAACAATAGGTACATTATCAATGGCAAACAGCGGTCCCAATACGAACGGATCTCAATTCTTCATATGCACTGAGAAGACTGATTGGTTGGTTGTGGTGGTGGTGATGATGATGAAGATGATGACGATGATAATGTTGGTGGTGTTGGTGATGATGATGAAGAAGATGTTGATGATGATGACGAAGATGTTGATGATGATGACGATGAGGAGAATGATAATGGTGATGGTGATGTTTTTCTACGGAAAACTTTCAAAACTCTGTTCTAATTGGATTCATCTTTTAGGTCGTATTTCTTTGTTGTATTTTTTTTATTCATTCATTTTTTTACTCATTTCATCTTCTTATTTAACGTTTATTTATTTTTCAATTTATACCCAAAATAATTCTTTTTTTGTTTGCTCAATTCGTTCATTCTCCACTCCTTCCATCTGATAAACTCTGTTCATTCGTTTGTCTGATCAGTCTTACATTCGGCAATTTCGCCATTCATTTTTTAATTCATTTATTTATTTATTATCCATTTATTCACGAATCTTATTTAATCTATTCGTTATATAATTCATTCATTCATTCATTCATTCATTCATTCATTCATTCTTTCGTTCATTTGTTTAGGTTGGATGGCAAGCACGTTGTGTTTGGAAAAGTCATAGCAGGACAGGATGTAGTACGGAAGATGGAGGTGTGTACGTGTGCTCTTGTTTGTTTGTGTCTGTTTATCAGTATGTATGTATGTGTGTGTGTGTGTGTTTACGCGTGTGTGTGGTATTTGTGTAAGTGTGTGTTTGTGTCTCTATATTTATATATGTGTGTGTGTGTGTGTGTATGTTTGTGTTTCTATATTTATGTATACTTGTTTGCGTGTGTGTAAATCTGTGTGTTTATATGTTTGTATATGTTGCCGTATGTTTGTGTATGTCCGTGAGAGTATGTATGCTTCTTAATGTGTACACATTGTATGTGTGTACGTGTGCAAGCATGTATGTGTTGTCTGTTCTAGAGGTTGAGATCGTCCGGTTCGTTACTGAGTTGATTTCAAATGTTTTTAATCTGGAATAAGTGTTTGTTTATTTTTTGTATGTTGGAAGGTCCTTTGCTTTACTCTTTATAATAATAATAATAATAATAATAGTAATAATAATAATAATAAGTTTTCTTATTAATAATTATTAATAATTATTAACATAGGCGTGTGGCAGTGCTTCTGGGAAGACCAAGGAGAAGATTGTCATATCAGACTGTGGAGAGTTCATATGATGATGAGGAGGATGATGGGATGATTACGATGATGATGGTGGGATGATGGTGAGGATGATCTGATGATTATGATGATGATGGTGGGATGATGATGAGGATGATCTGTTGATTATGATGATGATGGTGGGATGATGATGAGGATGATCTGTTGATTATGATGATGATGGTGGGATGATGATGAGGATGATCTGATGATTATGATGATGATGGTGGGATGATGGTGAGGATGATGGGATGATTATGATGATGATTGTGGTGGGATGATTATGATGATGATGGTGGTGGGATGATGATGAGGATGGTGTGATGATTATGATGATGATGGTGGGATGATGATGAGGATGATGGGATGATTATGATGGTGGGATGATGTTGAGGATGATGGGATGATA